AGCTTAAATCAACGCATAATTAGACACTATGAAAAAACGATAAAGGACATGTACATTGTGCTATGAAGAGATATAACGGGGAGGGGATTAGAGGTGAAGGAGGGGCAGGTTATGAAGGTTTGTTTATGTATTTAGGAATAGTGTATTTGAGTCAACTGAGAAAAGTTGTGTGTGTGTGTAAGAAAGATGGAAGTAATAGATAGATAGATAGATAGATAGATAGATAGATAGATAGATAGATAGATAGATAGATAGATAGATAGATTCCAGGAAGAGGAAAGAATACAAGCCAAAACAAAGTGATAGAATGTGTGAGATGAGAGTCAGGCTGGAGAGACAAACAGGGGCCGGATCATGCGGGGCCTTGTAAGATCCTAAGAGTCATAAGAAACACTAAAAAGCTTTAAGTGAGGGAGTGACAAGATCAGATTTGAAATATAATACTAGTTGTACTGTAGAAAACCAATTGGAGGTCAGGCACGGTGGCTTACACCTATAATCCCAGCACTTTAGGAGGCCAAGGGGGGCAGATCACCTGAGGTCAGGAGTTTTGAGACCAGCCTGGCCACCATGGCAAAACCCTATCTCTACTAAAATTACAAAAAATAGCAGGACGTGGTGGCACATACCTGTAATCCCAGCTACACGGGAGGCTGAAGTATAAGAGTCACTTGTACCTGGGGGGCGAAGGTTGCGGTGAGCCAAGAGCATACCACTGCACCACTGCACACCAGCCTGGGTGACAGAGTGAGACATCATCACAAAAAAAAGAAAGAAAAAAAGAAAGAAAACTAATTGGAGGCCAGAGTAGATGTAGAGAGATGAGTTAGGGTTTGATTACAGCAATGTGAGGGAAAGATGATAGTAGTTTGGACTGGAATGGTGATTGCAGGAACAAAGAGAAATGGAAAAACTCCAGAGATGTTCAGGAGGTAAAATCTTATGGCTTATAAATGAAGTGGATATGGAAGTATAAGCATTACTCATACATTTCTGGATTGTACAAGTTACATTAATTCAAAGAAGGAACAATGTAAGAAAATCAGGTTTAGGGTGAGAGAAGATCTTGAGTTCATTTTGGAGCAGGAACAGCTTGAAAAATGTTTGTACTAATGGGGATTTTAAAGTAGAAAGTTCAGTTTGTGGAACTAGAGACCAGAAGAGAGGACTGGAGTGAGTATAGACATTGGGGGTTATTAATTTACAGATGGGCATGGAAGCTAGTCGTGGGAGAGAGCATAGAATGAGAAAAGGGTTGGGAAGTGATACTACCGATAGCTAAATATTAACAGCCAAGTAGAACAGAATGGGTCAGGAAAGAAGATTAAGAAGGAATAAACCAAACAAAAAAACACAGGAGAATATGTGTCCTGTTACTTGAGCTGAGTAGAGTTTCTCAATTTCTAGACTGAGGGAGTGACCATTGTTAGGAGTGATTCCTAAGAATTCAAGTAGGGTGAAAGCTGAAAATGCCAATTGAATGTGCTCAAGGTGGAGTGACCACAATAGAACTAAGAATCACTTCAGTAGGGTGACGGACTGGGAGCGAGTTGGAGAATGTTAGAATTAAAGAGGTTGATGGCAACATAGGGACAATGAGACTGAACCTCTCTACTTAGAAATCTAGCTCAGACCTGGGGTAGGGGTTAAAATAAAAATAAAAAGAAAGCCTTAGGCATTCTTTTTTTTTTTTTGTATTTTCAGTAGAGACGGGGTTTCACCGTGTTAGCCAGTATGGTCTCGATCTCCTGACCTCGTGATCCGCCCGCCTTGGCCTCCCAAAGAGCTGGGATTACAGCCGTGAGCCACCACGAAGCCTTGGGCATTCTCAAGGATGAAAAGAATCCGGTTAAGAGGGAGAAGATGAAGATATAGGAAAGAGAGTGGGTAATCAACAATTTGTTAGAAGAAAAAGAAGGGTTCTTAGAAAGTCAGTGAGGGTGGAATTCAAAGTGCACATACAAGGTACAAAGATTGACCTAATATATAAGAAAGGATCTTTCTGAATTGTAAGAGAAGAGAAGCAGGGGAAGAGGGTGAGTGGGATGCAGGCATTGGAAAATGATGGAGTTCCCATGTGGCACTTTCTTTTTTTTCCTGTAAAATGGAAATGGAGGCTGTTAGCTAAAATTGAGATGGTGGTTGGTGCTGGTACATGGTCTCTAAGTTATTTTATTTTATTTTATTTTGATTTACTTTGGAGATAGAGTCTTACTCTGTAGCCCAGGCTGGAGTGCAGTGGCACCATCTTGGCTCACTGCAACCTCCACCTCCTGGGTTCAAGCGATTATCCTGCCTCAGCTTCCCAAGTAGCTGGGATTACAGGTGTGCGCCACCATGTCTGCCCAATTTTTGTATTTTTAGTAGAGATAGGGTTTCACCATGTTGGCCAGGCTCATCTTGAATCCCTGACCTCGGGTGATCCACCCGCCTCGGCCTCCCAAACTGCTAAGATTACCTGCGTGAGCCACAGTGCATGGCCTCTAAGTTATTTTAAACTTAGTTTTCCCTTATGGAGTTTGACTTGGTTTGTCCTTCATGCTCTAGACATTGTGGGCTGCTTTCTGCTGTCCAAATGTGGCCTTGGAAGTTGGGATGGACTTGGGGTGGCCAAATGGCCAGGAGACCCAGAAATATCTGAATTCTAGTCCAGCTCAAAATCAACTTCCTCAGTGAGGGATATATGCAAGTAAGGAGTAATGGAAAGGAAAAAACAGTGACACTGTATTGCTAAGTTGACTTAGCACCCAGACCTCATCAGGAAACACTCTGGTAGGCTGGATTGCAGCACATGATCCAGAGGTCTAAAGCCCTGTCCTGGCCAACCATCCCACCCCCATCATCAAAACAAAAGTAAACTTGAATTTTGGCTGACCTAATTTAAAGAAAAGAGGGACACATGATACTGCACATGTGTCCTCAGTGCCTTGGACAAACTGGCCTCAAGCCCAACATGGGGTAAAAGTGCTGGCTTAGCTATTACAGCATAATGAGCTCAAGCTCTTCTGTTCCAAGACAGCCTCTGTGCCAGGGGCAGCATCCAGAAGGTAGAGCCCTAGTCAGCTGTGCTGGATAGACTGCACAGATGAAATCAATCTTTTACACCTGTCACACATACCTGGACTTTTTTCTGCAAATGCAGTGCACTTCCCTGACTCACACAGATAAAAACAGTTCACAAATCTTCAGTTTAATAGACATTTCTGAGTTTGAGGTAAATTTTTTCATGGTTAAAATAAGTTATTAAAATGCTTTGCCACCTAGTGTTAGCCAAATAGCCCAATGACAGTAGCAATTAAAACATTCTCCGTTGACCTTGCTGATCCAGGTACTACCATTTTTTTCTTCCCTTTCTTTCAGTGTTAAACTTCTTGGAGCCCTACACATGCTGCCTTTCTTTTCTCATTGACTAAGTCAATCCCATCATCTGCCTTCTACTCCAGATAATACTCTCAGAATTCACCAGTAACTTTCCCATGGTCAAATCTATGGGTTTGTTGTTGTTGTTGTTGTTGTTGTTTGTTTGTTTGTTGTTGTTGTTGTTGTCTTAGTACATCTTTGATATTTGTAGAATTGGAATTCATTCATCTGGCCTCTGTGGCACTGCATCTTTCTGGTACAGCTTCTGTCTAAATACTACTTAGTCATGTCTACTTGTTCCTTCACCTCTTCCCATTCTACCTCCATGGATATCATTAAAATTTTGCCTTTAACCCCTGTATTTCTTTTCTTCCTGGAAGACCCTGCGTGACTCCAACTATCATCTCCATGCAGACAATTTCAAAATTTATTCCTCTAGTTCTGATATTTCTTTTCAGCTCTGGTCTCATGTCTCTAGCTAAATTATTCCTTGAGTCTACTGAGTGCCCTGCCATTATCTCAAATTCAGTAAATCTAATGCTGAATTAATAATCTAGTGGACTTAGCTTCTTTTTCAGTAGAATGACTAGACAATCACCTAGATTGCAGCAGAAGTTTCCTAACTGTACTGATCATCAGAATAATTTTGGTGTGGGGTGATGAACTGGGTAGTCTGAACAGCTCTTCAGGTGATTCCAATGATTAGCCAAGATGAAAGCTCTAGTCTAAAGACAGGATTATCATAGTAATTGATCTAAGGTCTCTTGTAGACTAGGATATTGTAAGTCAATTTTGTACAATCTCTTCCCCTAAATTGGCATTGATATTTAATAGCAATGTGATCCTGGGCAAGCTATTTTGTTTCCTTTAGCCTTAGTTCTCTCATTTGTAAAATGAATATGAAAATATCTATTGCAGTGAGTGAGATTAGATGTGTGAAATACACTGTTTAGTGACATATACATAGCAGGAGCTTTCTAATTCTCTTTTGCACCTCTGTCCTTTCTGGCTCACTCTTCACACCACTAACAAATTGATTTTCTGTGTCACGTTTCTTTTGTCACTCTTGCTTGTAACCTCAGTGGTTTCTCTGACTTTCCGCAGTGATACTCAGACCCCTGCTCTAGAGACAAATACGTCTCATCAAGAGTGATTTGTGTTGTTTAAGTGCCTTTAATTTTTGATTTAGCATTCATGTAATTTGAAGTCTCAAACAGGTTGCTTTCTAAAAGTATGGATGTCAGTGGTTTTGAAATTTAGATCATGTCCCCTCATTGAACAATATTTTTAAAATTGTTATATTTCATGCTACTCCACAAAAATGCATTTAGCCTTGTATAGCAGAAAACTATATATTTATAATGAAAATATTAAAAACAGTGGAAATAATTGAAAACAATTACACTGTACAAGTATATGAAATACTTTATCTGCATACATTTCTGGAACAGGCCACTGGGCAATTAAGCTAGGTCCACCTTGACTCTGAGACATATCCCTGCTAAGCTGTAAAGGATTGATTTTTAGATAAGCCTTTGTGCTAAAAGCAGGAAAAAGGAGAGAGAGCATGAAAATTTGGATGCCTATATGGAGTCAGAGGTAGTAACAAAAATAACTTTAAATGTCTTACTAGCATGATTTTATTGTGTTGGCCTCCTGCAATCCATGTAGGTCATTTACTTTTTATATTGTCAGGTGCATTTTCACTCTGCTTTTTCTAGTTCCCATTAATGATCAGGGTTGAAGAGTGCAGCAGGTCCTCAAATAACATCTTTTTGTTCAATGTTGTTTCTTTATAACGTTGATAAGAAAAAAAAAATGATTCTGGGCCGAGGCCACCATCTGTGTGGAGTTTGCACTTTCTTCCCATGTCTTTATGGGTTTTCTCTGGGTGCTCCAGTTTCCTTCCACATCTGAAAGATATGCATGTCAGGTGAATTGGCATGTCTACATTGTCCCTGCATGAGCGAATTTGAGTGTTTGTAAGAGTGTGCCCTGCGATGGGATGGAGTCCTATTCAGGTCCAGTCCTTCCTGGTGCCCTGACCTGCTGGCATAGGCTCTGGCCACCCCAGACCCTGAACTAGAAAAGTTGGGTAAATAATTATCTTACTTATTTTTATTAATCTTTCTTAAATGTATGTATGACTCACATTTACTTCAATGTTTGATGTTGGAATTGTTTTGGTCTTTAAAATTTCATTGATATTTTTGTGACCAGAAATACGTCATGGAAACTTAACTCTTGTTTATATCAATTAGCCTATGGTAAAACTGGTTTGGTTTTATACTTCATTTTGCTTATAGTCACACTTCCCAAAAACTTATCCATGATGTTTAGTGAGGACTTACTGTATTGTTATTAGCTGTTTGGGGTATAAAGAGTAAAAAAGTGTCTGGGTGTGGTGGCTCATGCCTGTAATCCCAGCACTTTGGGAGGCTGAGGTGGGAGGATCACTTGAGGTCAGGAGTTCGAGACTAGCCTGGACAATGTGGTCAAACCCCATCTCTATTAAAAATACAAAAATTAGCCGATGTGGTCGCGAGCACCTGTAATCCCAGCTACTCGGGAGGCTGAGGCAGGAGAATCACTTGAACACTTGAACCTGGGAGGAGGAGGTTGCAGTGAACCACAATCGTGCCACTGTACTCTAGCCTGGGTGACAGAGCAATAATTCATCTCAAAAAAAAAAAAAAAAAAAGAAAGAAAAGAAAAAAAAAAGAGTAAAAAAGCTTTTCCTAGAACAATCCATGTATACCTGAGCTCCCTCACAGACAGGCACCAAGACTTTAAAGAGGAAGCGATAGTTGGCAGCTATTTTTAAACATTCTTATTCTACATGTACATTCTTATTTTTACTTGCTATATATTGTTCCAAGGTATGGCTCTTCCATAATTTATTTTAAAACACTCTTATTGATGAGCATTGATTTTTTTTTTCATTATTGCCAACAATGCTACAATGAACCTTCATATATGTGATGTACCTATGGATGCATATGAGCATTTAAAAAAATTATTCCTGGATGTAGTGAAGGGAGACTCTGTTCTAGACAGGAACAGTACCAATGGTCCCCAGAGTAGCTTTAAAGAAAAGATGCAAGTAGTAAAGAAAGAAATTGGAGGTGATAATTTCCTTTTTCTTGTAATTATTACATACTTCTGCAAGAATTTCGTATTTTTAAAGTAGAAAATTTTCTCTATGCTGAATTTTTAAATTAAAAATTAGCAATGTAGGAAGCTAACCATACTCTTGGGGAGAAAGAAGATGTGAAGCTGGCCATTGCTGACTCCGATATGGTTTGGCTATGTCCCCACCCAAATCTCATCTTGAATTGTAGTTCCCATAATCCCCATGTGTTGTGGGAGGGACCAGGTGGAGATAATTGAATCATGGGGCTGGTTTCCCTGATCCTATATAGTGAGTATGTTCTCACAAATCTGATGGTTTTAAAAGGGACTTTCCCCGTCACTCAGCTCTCACTCTTCTTCTCCCTGTCATCATATGAAGAAGGATGTGTTTGCTTCCTCTTCTGCCATGATTTTATGTTTCCTGAGGCCTCCCCAGCCAAGTTGAACTGTGAGTCAATTAAACCTCTTTCCTTTATACATTAGCCCGTCTCATGTATGTCTTTATTAGCAGCATGAGAACAGACTAATACAGAAAATTAATACTGCGGAGAGCAGAGTGCTGCTATACAGATACCCAAAAATGTGGAAGCGACTTTGGAACTGGGTAACAGGCAGAGATTGGAACAGTTTGGAGGGCTCAGAAGAAAACAGGAAAATGTCGGAAAGTCTGGACCTTCCTAGAGACTTGGAGGGCTCAGAAAATAGGAAGACGTGGAAAAGTTTGGGACTTCCTAGACACTTGTTGAATGGTCTTGACCAAAATGCTGATAGTAATATGGACAACAAAGTCCAGGCTGAGGTGGTCTTAGATGAAGATGAAGAAAGTGTTGGGAATTGGAGTAAAGGTCAGTCTTGCTATGCAAAGAGACTGGTGGCATTTTGCCCCTGCCCTAGGGATCTATAGAACTTTAAACTTGAGAGAGATGATTTAGGGTATCTGGAGAAAGAAATTTCTAAGCATCAAAGCATTCAAGAGGAAGCAGAATATAAAAGTCTGGAAAATTTGCAGCCTGACTATAATGTGATAGAAAACAAAACCCCATTTTCTGGGGAGATATTCAAGCTGGCTGCAGAAATTTGCATAAGTAATAAGGAGCTGATGTTAATCACCAAGACAATGGGGAAAATGTTTCCAGGGCATGTCAGAGACCTTCACAGCAGCCCCTCCTATCACAGATCCAGAGGCCTAGGAGGGAAAAATGGTTCTGTGGGTTGGACCCAGGGCTCTCCTGCTCTATGCAATCTCAGGACATGTTGTCCTGTGTGCCAGCTGCTTCAGCTCCAGCAGTGGCTAAAAGGGGCCAAGGTACAGCTCAGGCCATGGCTTCAGAGGGTCTAATCCCAAAGCCCTGGCAGCTTTCATGTGGTGGTGGGCCTGTGGGTGCACGAAAGTCAAGAAGTTAAGTCTGAGAACCTCTGCCTAGATTTCAGACAATGTATGGAAATACCTGGATGTCCAAGCAGAAGTTTGCTGCAGAAGCAGACCTCTCATGGAGAACATCTGCTAGGGCAGTGCAGAAGGGAAATGTGGGTCAAATCCCCCACATAGAGTCCCCACTGGGGTATTGCCTAGTGGAGCTGTGAGGAGAGGGCTACCATCCTCTAGACCCTAGAATGGTAGATCCACTGACAGCTTGCACCATGTGCCTGGTAAAGCTGCAGACACTCAACACCAGCCTGTGAAAGCAGCCAGGAGCAGGGATGTACCTTAACAAACCACAGGGGTAGAACTGCCCAAGGCTGTGGGACCACACCTCTTGTATCAGCATGCCTTGGATGTGAGACATGGAGTCAAAGGAGATCATTTTGGAACTTTAAAGTTTAATGACTGCCCTATTGCATTTTGGCCTTGCATGGGGCTTGTAATCCCTTTGTTTTCTCATTTGATCTAGGAAATAACTAACTTGTTTGATTTTACAGGCTCATAGGCCAAAGAGATTTGCCTTGTCTCAGATGAGACTTTGGACTTGGACTTTTGAGTTAATGCTGGAATGGGTTAAGACTTTGGGGGACTATTGGAAGGGCATGATTGTGTTTTGAATTGTAAGGACATGAGATTTGGGAGGGGCGGGGGTGGAATGATATGGTTTGGCTGTGTCCCCACCCAAATCTCATCTTCAATCATAGTTCCCATAATCCCCACAGGTCATGGAAGGGACCAGGTGGAGATAATTGAATCATGGGGGAGTTCCCCCATCTTGTTCTGATGATAGTGAGTTACTTCTCTGAGATCTGATGGTTTTATAAGGGGCTTCCCCCTTTGCTTGGCTCTCATTCTTCTTCTCCCTGCCATCATGTGAAGAAGGATATGTTTGCTTCCCCTTCTGCCATGATTGTAAGTTTTCTGAGGCCTCCCCAGCTACGCTGTGCTATGAGTCAATTAAGCCTCTTTCCTTTTTAAATTACCCAGTCTTGGGTATGTCTTTATTAGCAGAGTGAGAGCGGACTAATACTGACCTCTAGGTGTTTAGGATGGCCTTTCTTTGAACCAACCACATAGCACAGAGGGAGAAGTTTTAGGTTCCCTCTCTCAGCATGAAAGCCACCTGCTTATAATGAAAATATTATAGGCCTTAATAGGCCCATGCACACACAAACATTTTCCTATGTTAACCACAAATTTATTTCCCTCCAAAAATGCTAACCTTCAAATTAGCTTTATAAAGAAGTGATGAATGGGAACTCAGTGCTCTCCATGCTCTCTATGCAGCTCATTCTTTGAAAGGCTCCTTCTTTGCTACTGTCTCCTCTCAGGTCTTTCTGCCCCTTTCCTTCATCCTCCCTCTCACTTGCAGACCTGGATAAGACCTGACTTGTTTCTGTAAAGTTTTATTTCAGAACTTATAAATAAAGCTGGCTAAGAAAGTTGATCTGCCGCTTAGGCGTTGGGCTGACCTGAGGAAGGGACATAATTTCCCAGAGCCTCAATTTCCATACCTATGAAGTGGTTATGCAGAAATTCCAACCTATGCCATTACTGAAGGAACCAGTTGATATACTGCTTGACTTAATGGTGATGTCTGTCTATTACCTGAAGCTCCTGCTGTGGCTCCTGTGCATGCTAGGTACTGGAAATATGTTTGATGATTTCTTATCAGTTTGTCTGTTAGTCGATGCCAAACTACTTTCCTTTCTGGTATAATATACACTGCTGAAGGAGGAGGAAAGGAATCAGAGGGAGATAGAAGAGATTGAAGATTTCTCCTAACTTCCTGAGGTCTGCTTTGATCTCTTTCCTCTGTCAAGAGTTCTTTTTTTCACTTTTATCTTGTAGGAAGGCAAACAGATACTATTTATAAGATATTTGAGTTTATCCAGCCCTTATGATATATTCTTTTCACCTCCTTTCCACCACAAAGGCCATAGTGATGGTCAAAGTGGCTTGCACAGAAGGAAACTATTAGTGGGACAGAGCTCCTGTCCACTAGCTCAGTGGTCTCCAACATTTTTGGCACCAGAGACTGGATTTGTGGATGACAATTTTTCCGTGGAAGGAGTATGGGGGTGGAGGATAGTTTGGGGATGAAACTGTTCCACTTCAGATAATAAGGTATTAGTTATATTCTCGTAAGGAATACACAACCTAGATCTCTCACATGCATGTCCAATTCACAATAGGGTTCGCACTCTATGAGAATCGAATGCTGCCGCTGATCTGACAGGAGGCGGAGCTCAGGTGGTGATGCTCACTCGCCCACTGCTCACCTTCTGCTGTGTGGCCAGGTCCTTGGCCTGTTAGGAACTGGACCACACAGCAGGACCCCTGCACTAGGGTGCACCC